CGGGCTTTCATTCGATAATTCTATCGGCAAGGCTGGGTTCTAACCGAACACCAAGACCGGCCTGAGCGCCAGTCGTGATATCGATGCCTGAGTAGAACAGCTTCCACCTTTTGAGGTTCAGGAGTCCACAGCCTGGGCGTTTTATTGTCGAGAGTCGAACAATGTCGATTCGGTACTTTTGTTGTCGTGAAGGAAAATCGAATTATATAAAACTTTTTCTTTGATTTAGTGGATTAGCAGCGGTTGCTCAGACCAGTTCAGCTGATGTTCCAACGCATATTTGTTCGGCCCCAAACAGTGATGCTCTCTGATGTTCATTTACATTCATTGCAGGTCCTTAAATAACACCGAGCTGTCGCCTTCTCAACGGCACCGTAGGCATCAAGAAGATAATGAGATCGGATTACCAGTAATAATCCTACTAAGAAAACGTGCTACTGTTCTCACTGGCGGCAGCGAAAACTGTCAATGCTGACAGTGACTACAGATAATTGTGGTCATTCGATATGTGTAAAACGATGGTTTACTTCATTTCGTTTTCAACCTTCGTTAAAATCATTTGATTAGCAGAGCAACCAAGGATTTTGATGCGTGACCAGTTTGAAACTGTCTGTGTTTTGTATTCGCCATCGTTTGCTGCAGTGCCTGTAGCCATGAACCTCGTTCGACTTAACAAAATTGCCTCTTGTTTAGAAATGAAACTACGTTTTATTGGCATCTGTCTTTTCTGCTCTTTTGAGTCGCCTCGTAACAGCGGCAACGCTGAAGCACTAAAGACATCAGTTGAAGCGCTCTCACCAATACTGCTGGTGCAACATTTCCTACGTATCTTGGGGTCATCAAGCAGTGAACGATTGCGTTTTCGAAACCATGATTGAAGATGCTCTCTGAAGATTTAAGAGGCAGCACATCTTAGGGTTCTATGAAATGGCTCAGACACGGGGAAACCTTGTTCTGAAATTTCCGACTTCTGCTGTGAAGTCAAGCTGTAAGATGATGGAGCGAAGAGTAGATAATAATTGAACAGTTCTTTTGGCGCTATATTTCCCAATATGGATGAAAGAAGGCAGAAACTACGTTAAGGGATATTATGATGAGAATATGAAAATGAAGGAAAAAAGTAAAATATGAAGATGAAATAAATGTAAACTTCCTTCGCATATGTACCGGAAGAGTTGATGGCCTGATGGTTACATAAATTGGAATCGTTAGATATGCTGACTATATTAGTGCATTAGAAGGACATTAATCAGTTTTGCGAGATGTCCGCCTGACAAAGTATGCATAGCCTGCACTGACTGGATCACCCTCGTCACGCCTGCCACAAATTGGTCATTTGAGCTAAATCACGGATTCAGAGCTCGTCTTTCAGAATGTAACGATTTTGCTGCAACAATATCTGAGCGTAATACTGTTTTTAAATTACAGGGTCCTCGATCCCTTGGAATCACCGGTATTCGGCGACAAATAGTTCCAATCGCAACACGGCCACCATTCCTGATGGTTTTGAGTCTTCGAGGTTCCTGATATAAACCTCTCGCGTGTGGTGGGCGACCAAGCTGCCTAATTCATCCGTGAAGATAGCGATCGCCGATCAAAACGGACCATCTCAAGTAGTCGAGCTCACCGTCGTAACTTTTTCCTTCTGTTTTCGACGACAACATTTTTACTGTCGCTTGCTGTCTCATCATCGTGTTGGAGGTGACGTCACGATATGAGATATTTCTATCATTCTTTTTCCCATGGTTCTCTCGGTGACAACTAGCGGAGGCTCTTCGGCTTTATTGAGTGACAGCATCTCACGGCAATACAACATTGTTGAACAGTAGAATTAAAAAAGTGGGTGTGAACTTCTTTCCTTAGGTTTCCTGTTGTCCTAATGAAACGTCCGCCAGCTGGCTCTCATTCTTTACTGAGTCTGTCCAACGTGCACCCGCTACAAGTTTATCTCTTGATCCTTGAAAATGTATTTATTGTCTTCGATCTTTCCGCTGATTAGTACTACCTGAACTTTCGGCTGGGTATCCCATCCCAGTATTTCGTCTTTGTCTGACAAACTCAAAGATCGACTTCTCCGCTTTATGTCTCGAGCTTTAACATTTCTTGTAGCTGAATGGCGATTTTTGCTAACGATACCTTGCCATCAGCGAAACTTAGGTGGCTGAGGTGTTCACCACTGATGATAATCCCACTCTACTGGGTCAGCGATACATGAACCGGAACATTAATAGTGGTCAGTCGTTCCAATACATAATTTTGTTGCCAAAAAGACTTGATGCTTTAATACTAGACTTTTTTATTACATTTCTGACGATATATTTATGAATATAAATACCTAACAAAACACTGAATCCTCAGCATATAAGTGATATGATTAAAACGACCACTAATGCGTAGGATCTAAATAGTTGTCCCGTGGCAGTATATTGCTCGATTTAACGAAACACCGCTTTTGTTACGAGTATATATGTTGTTCGAATTAAGAGCATGATGTTGTTGCGCATTTACGCGGTTTAAGTGCTCACACTTGAACCTCATTTGCTTAAGTTGTCTCCTATGTCTTTGAATTAAGGAGTGGTATCACTTTGCCCCAGAAGCAGGTGCTGTAACTCGCACGTATCATTCTCCATGAAAATGCATTGCCAACCAGCTCTAGTTCCAGGAGGCGAAGAGTTGACACTATCATCAATCAGTCAGGTTCGATGACCGCATATCATTTTGGGTCGCGAAGGCAGACTAGTCAGACGGTGTCATCGACGTTCTCGATCTTGTACCAGAGTTTCACCTTTGGCAGAAGATAAACTCAGTCTGAAGCATAGTCTTACGGTTACTTCTGGCTGAGGATTAAGGTCTTCAGCAGTTGGATGGAGCAGTTAGTAGCTGTTTCGTTTTCCTTTCTAGAAACATTCACTGCAGCATTGACAACTCAGTATGAAAAAGCATCAGCTAGGCACCAAGCATTGGTTTTGTTCTTCATCTGGCAATATAGCGGAAATTGGCCCCCTATAAATTTCACAAAAGGGATGGCGCCATAACTGTCAATAATGGAAGTGTAAGGAAGACCGATATGCAAAATGTCACAAATCATTCTATTCTTTTATACTGAATGGATTTTTTGTACTTACTCTAAACAGCAGCGATAATTATAACTTAGCAAGTAGTGTGTTAAAACTGACATGCAAAAAAATACTATGCGCTTTCGAATTTGTTTCAGTGTGTATCACGTTCTCCGTTTCTCGACATTTCCATCAGATTTAATAGAAACTAACATATTAATTAATTGTTTGTAAGGAATCTATCAAGACCGCTCCGTTTCTTATAAGTTGAATATGTATTTTTCGATTTGTCAATAGCATCTAGTTTATGCCTGCTGCAATTTTGACAGACTTCATTTACTGAGATGCTGTCGAATGCTTACCATGTTTCTCGAGACTTTTAAACTATAGCATCAAGTTATTTACTAGTGGATGCCATTCAATGCCAGTAGTAAAGCTGCATGTTTATTTTCTCACTGAAAGGGTAATAGCTCGAGGATTTCAGTGTTCTGGTGGATGTAGCATTTTTGGTTGCACGGTCAATCCATCACTAAAGCGTGTTTAGCAACGGTCAACGGTGGCTGCTATTAGCACCTAATACCTTCATCATTGACTGCAAATAGAAATCCACAGCGCGGTAGAAACCTCGACGTTTGAATGGTTAGTGACTGCTTGCTTTCAAATTTCTTCACTTTCCTGACAACATGAGAACTCTGTTGAGGTGTGACCGTTTAAACAGATTAATCCGGATGATCATTTCAACTTGTGATCCAGTGCACAAAATAACAAAGAAGTCTTTCGAGAAACACGATTTGCAAAACGGGTCTCACTTCTTATTGTTGGTGCAAAATGCTTCCTTGTGACAGAGTCAAAATATGATTTTTTGTCTTTAATTCTGTATATGTTTTTCGTCATCGTGAATGTTGCGAGCTCTGGTGGTTTAATAATTGCTGCACGGACATGCCTTTCCTTTGTTGAATCAGAAGGCTTTATAGAAGTATTTCAAATAAGCGTTGTCTGCTTTTAGGCGCATTCCTTCAATCAAAGAAAGAAGATGCTGCCGCAGTGAAGATTCAAGCCAGCTATAGAAGTTTTAGAAGCCGCCAGAAGATCAAGAGGCAGGTGAAAGAAAGCACGGCGGCAGTACCTGAATCGCCAGGCAAAAGTTCAATCCTGTCGAACACGCAGACGGTTTCGAGCAACGTTTCGTCAAATGCCAACGATACAGAAATCGGCAACGAAACCAACAACACCAACGACAATGAGTCGCCCAAATCACAGCTCGGTACTATACTCCCCACTGCATTTCTATCGACTTCGACAGTGCCTATATTTTAGACTGCGTATACAAAATAGTGGTATTTACAGGCAACCGCTGGGCAGCTGACTGTGATGCCGACTTATATGTAATTCTCTATGGAATAATCGGATCATCAGAGAAGCAGTGGCTGAAACAGGATCCTAACGTTTCAAGATTCAAGCAAAATCAGGTAGTGTAAGACCAAGTAACAGACAAAAGGCGTATGTAGTCTTTTGTCTCCAGCCGTACTGTTTGTGGACAATGTAAGTCTTCACTTCTGGTGAGAGGCATGAAATGAAATTAATATCCAAAGTTCCTCCATTTAATATAGGAAACCTTTGCTTTTTTGGTGACTTCTCAGGAATTGAGATTTGCTACCATTTCAAAGAAATT